CCCATATGGTAAGAGAAGAATCAGCTCGTGCTGATAAACTGGCTTTACGAACCCGAAACTGGCTGAACCATCGAATTTGTTTTCGCAGGCGGCGATAGGCTTCGAGGCGGACGCAGGGCAAATCCAATACAAGTGCGGTGGCAGCCTGATAAGCGAGAACTTTGTGCTGACCGCCGCCCATTGTACTTCCATATACGAGTGAGTGTGCTTGCCTGTAGTCTGTAGTCTGTACTGTGTGGAAATCGTGTGGCCTTACACTTGTTCACGCACCTCCTTTAGCACGTCCCCGAAGTGGGTGCGCATCGGGGACTTGAATCTGGTTTCTGATGAGCGAACAGTGGAGCCGCAGCTAATGCAGATACAGGATATTTTCAGGCATCCTAATTACACAAAGGAGCTGTACTACAACGACATCGCCCTGCTGAAGCTGCAGGGAGAGGTGGAGTGAGTGATCGTAATTATACAACAAACAACTATCGTCTGCAGCATCTTGCAGGTTGACTGTGTACGTGAGACCCATTCGTCTATGGGTATTCTCCGAGCTGCCCACTTCAATTGCGTTTGGCATGGGATATGGGTCGACCAGCTTCGCGAAGCCCATGACGAATCGCCTGACAAACTTGAACCTAACTGTCGTGCCCAATGCAGAGTGCAACTCCGGACTGCCGCCCATTGCCGAGACCCCCAGTGGTGTGGTGGCTAGCCAGATTTGCGCACAGGATTACATCCTCAACCGAGACACCTGCCAGGGGGACTCGGGAGGTCCCTTGCAGCTGAACCTGCCGGGTCGCCGACGTCGCCAAAATATTCATTATCACCTCATTGGCATAACGTCGTATGGAGTGTTCTGCCGCAGCAGCTACCCGTCTGTGTACACGCGGATATCGACCTTCTTGGATTGGATCGAGGGCACAACGTGGAATGACGCAAATGATTTTATGCAATAAAGTATTCTTTGCTTCGAAGCTTAAGAACTGGATTTTGGTCCAAGAACAACCCAAGGATTTTTTTTATACACTATCATTTTTTAATTATTTATTAACGGTGCAAACGTTTTAAAAGGTGAAAAAAACGAAAAGTTTTTTGGTAAATTTTGCTGAGATTGCTTAGGCTCTTCTAGACCTCATTGTTGGCATCAAGCACCTGCTGCTTGACATCCTCGTAGGAAGGCAGTGTCTGTGGGTGAGCGAACAAGAAAAGGCGATGAATTATACATTTGAAATGTAGTTTTCTTCTACTCACGGACGGCATTGGCGAAAGTTTTTAGTATGTTTTTAGTAACGTGTTTGAGGTTAGGCAATGCACACAATACACAATGCACAACGATGAAAGCAATTACAGATTGTTACGATTATGAATGACTAGTTAGGCTAAGGTCCATTTCACTAACCTGCCAGTAGTTGTCCTCCCAGTTCGGGAACATGCGCTTGAAGGCGCGGGGCTCATGGCCCTGGGTGACGCGCACAATGCTCACGGTGTCGACGGTGCGTGCGGTGGGCTCCACTCGGATGTAACGCTGTGCAGGAGAAAGACGCATGATTAATTTAGATTGAAAACTGTGAGTGTGTGCGCAGTGGAACACACCTTTGCCATGTCTACAATCTTGCTGTTCTCCTCGGCGGTGGCTCCAGAGCCGACCCACATGTAGATTTCATCGCCGGCATCCAGCAGCATGACATCGTCAGGGTCCAAGTCCTCCTGTTCGTACTTGGCCACCTCCTCGACCTTTACAAGTCCGTTGCGGGTCAGGCGGCAGTGGAAGAGACGCGGCTCCAGCAGCGGTGCTCCATGGTCGTCGAGGCTGCGGTCGTACTGGCCCTCGCCGTTCAGTTCCTCCCAGAATTCCTCGGGTTCTGCGCCCTCCTCGACCACCTCCACCTCAGCGTCGTCCCAGTAGTGTGCAAAGCGTTCATTGGCCGCAGTCTTCTCGAAGCTGGACGCTCCCAGGCCATTCCAAATAAAGATTTTATGCGACTTTGCGGACACGAGAGCGAAGGCATCACTAGAGGCCAGTGACGAGCTGTCGGCGGGCACTTCGCTGGCGTGGATATCGCTCTCAACGGTGCCCCGAATGCGGAACAGCTGCGCTGTCACTGGCAAGGCGGTGTACGAGGCCAGAAGCTTGCCCTTGAATATCTTATAGAAGTGGCGCGGCTCGTGGCTTTGGGCGGTCAGCACCAGAAGGACATTCTTCTCCTCAGCCATGGAGAGTCCTTCCCGGAAGGCTCTCTGCTTCACAGCAGCGCTGGCCTTGGCTCCCTGCCACACGTATACGATAGGTCCCTGGTCGCCGTTGTTGGCCTCGTAGTTGTAGGTGAGAACGTAAGAGCCGAAGCCCAGAAGCGGAAGGTTTTCCTCAAAGGGAACGGTGTGGACCAGGACCTCGTTCGAATCGGGCTTGCTGACGTACTGCGTGATGCTCTCAATGCTGTTCTGGCCGTGGTCCGGCATAAAGCCAATGGCACGTCCACCACTCCTCTTCAGCTTTTGCACCACCGCGTCGATCTCGTCCACATCCAGCGACTCGTCGGAGCCGATATCCAGGGCGGAACGAACGAGGCGTGTGTGTGCCATGCCAGCATCACGCCAGGTGGTAAAGTACTGCTTGAATGGGGCGGACTCGGCGCCCTCGACAATGCGCTCGATCTGTGTCCAGGCAGGGTACTTTTTGGTGCGGAGGAACTCTTGGGCCTTGGCCATCGCGTCGGTCTTCTCCTTTGGAGTGGCGCCTCGTCCGACCCACACGAAAATGCCAGAGCCAGTGTCCAGAATGAAGCAGTCCCGCGTGTCTAGCATGGCCTGGGTCAGAGGTTTCTGGGCGACGGTATCCACTTGCAATTTGCCGCTGGCATCGCTCACCTTGTAGAGGGTCACGGCTGCAGCGTCCGCCCTCTCAAAGGCGCTGTCCTCCTCTGCGCTAGATTCCTCGGGCACCTGGTCGGCAGATCCGGATCCGAGCACATCGAAGAACTGCTGCTTGTCTGCCTCGGTGCTGAACTCGTCGACTATTTGCACACGGGCACGTCCATTGTGGTCCTGATCTCTGATCTGATTCGCAGCACTGATGGCCTTCAGCTTCTCCACGCGCTTGGCCTGCGCTCCCACGTAGACGTAGATATCGCTACCCGCATCCAAGATGAAACAGTCGCCCTGGTTCATCGAGGACACGGACAGATTCACCTGGCGCACACGCACGTTCCGCTTGCCCTTGACCTGGAACAGACGCTTCTGCCCCTGGGCGTTGATCTCTACGTGCTTGAAGCCGGTTCCGACACCGCCCTGCTCGTAGCGAACGCCTGAAATTGTTGTTTGGTTATTTGACTGCGTAAACAGGCAACTGGAAGGATTTCGAACCATTTTTGAAGTAACCCAGGAACAGCTGCGACTCGTGATCCTGCACCTCGCGATGCTGTACAGGGCCGCCATTCAGGAGATCGTCCAACTGGACGGTGAGGATGGCAGCCGCCCCAGCCTCATCAGTGGACGTTTCGGAGCCCAGCCAGAAGTGCACATCCCAGGAGAGTTTCTTGTCTTTCTTGTTCTCAATGGTCTAGAATTGCAAAGAAATGTTGTGCATTATTCATGGGAAAATTCACTTCCCAGAATTTCCATTTTGGATCGGTACAGAGTCCACCCACACTACCCACCATGCAATACTTACATTAAGCACAATGAAAGAGTCTCCAGTGTAAAATTTTCCGTAGTTATTCTTAGGGTAGGCCACCGGCTCAAAGTTCTGGAGAATGAAGAACAAATGAGTAATGAGTACCAATGTATATTCATGATCTTTTCTGAAAAAAAATGCAGAAAAATTTGCGCCTGGCATAAATGTTTTTCCCGTACCTAATAAATTGAGTTAATTAACAGAACATTAGCTACGAGTATATGTTTAGACGGATATATCTAGCACTTATAAACATGTGGCATCCACATTGCGTGCGTTCAGCTCATTCGCCGCCGAGTTTTGGATGCCGCTGCACGAGTAACGCAGTCAGTCGTGCGTGGGAGCTCCGCTGCGCTGCTCTGCGAACTTTCCCCCAAAAGATGAAATAAGCGCCAGCTATTTATACACTTCTTGGAACAGCTGGCACTGCCACTGGCAGAGAGTGAAATCGAAAGCTCGAATTATTGACTTACCTCTATACGCCAGATCTCCAGGCCTGGTGCACGGCCGGCGTTGGCGAAGGCTGGATTCATGATGCGTCTTCCGGGCTGCTTGCTGTTATCGGCAGAGGGCTGGATTTGTCCGGTTTGCACGGGGAACGCGGGGCGGGCGTTGAACGTGCCCGCTGAGCAAAGAGTGGCGGATAGGGCGAGGAACACCAGCAGGCTGGAAAGCAGTCAGGCAGGTAGATAATGGTTACACGAGTCTCAATCAGTTTGTACGAGGTCAAGGGAACCAGAGTCCGCCCGGTCGGAGTGTGGAATTGTGTTATTGAACCCCGCGGCACCAAGGATAATGGAACAGTCATCCGACAGCATTCGTGTGAGTCATGTACATACATAAAAGCCCATAATTGGTAATAAATGTCACATGGCGGCGAAAGTATTGTCATCAGAGGCGTCCCATGATATGATAAACTCGCTCGGAATTGCCATGTATATACACTCGCAAGACACTCTCCCCTACTTACGGATCGGGTTTGTATTTGAGCCAGATGTGTGCTCTGACGCGTGTCGTATGAGTAACCGAAACCCCTTCAAAACTGTTTGCACTAATTAAACTGTCTTATAATTGCTGTCGAGAGCTTTATCGGAGCCTGTTAGCCAAGAAGAGAACTGTTCGCTTGCATTACCTGGAGATGACTGCCATGCTGGTGGCGCCCGAAGTTTCCATTTCGCGTATCGTGCCGAAGCAACAGCAGCGCCGCTTTGTTTATTGTTGCGATAAATATAACAAGTTGCCCGTATATCGAGTAGTCCCCTATGTGTCTGGGTATGAGTATATATGTATATATAGATGTGTGTATATGTGTATCGTAGTCGCTTTGTTTTTCCACCTCAAACGAGATGATTGTCCGCGTTGATCCCAGCCAAGAGCGTGTGAACTGTAATTGTAAGAGAAGCAGCCAGTTGGCATCAGCTGTTAAGAGTGTTTAAGAGATAACCCCGATAAACAGATATGTACATTAATTAGGGGAACAGTTAGAGTCAGCTGCTAATTAATATGTTAACAAACACGTTTTTGCTGTATAGTTTCGTTATTCAAATAATATCATCATTAGCCTCCCACTATGCATTTCCTGGTAGCTGCCAACTAGTAGATACTACTTATGATATCATTTTCCTACACGCATAAGTTGTCGTGGCCAAGCTAGGAGTTCCAGTTAAGATCCAAAAAAGTAATGACCGAAACCGTTATACATATGTAATATACATATACATATGTAATGTACATATACATATGTAAATACATATGTATTTACATATTACATTATTTACGTGCCTCTATTGTTGGAAAAATCTTTCTTCGTTTCTTTATATATATTTTTAGAGCGTCCTTTACTTTCTCAGTGATGGTTGTACACTCTTTACTGTATAGTGGCGTCGTACGAGTACGTAGACTTTTTACCGCCACTATTTACGTATGTAAATATGTATGAAAATATGTACATATGTATTTATGTATGCTGTGATGTCTGATCGGATCTTAAGGCCATCCGACGAAGCTGTGAATTAAAAGGCTGCACGCATGTTTTGCAAATTGCTTTCAAGTAATTAGTTTTGCGACATGACGACATGAAACGTCTGGCGCAGGGAGCATGATATCATCGTTGATACCAAACACCAAGCCCAACGAGCCCTTTCTCTGCAAGTGGGTCACAATCATAAAAAAGGGGAACAAATGTCTTCATACATATGTACATACATATATTTAATTGGGAGTATTTGCCTTTTGAGGCACTTTCTGTGCCGTTTTCACAGAAATGCCGTTCGCATTTGTTTCGCTTGACGTCTGTCCTCAGACAGTGAATATCAATTATAGTAAACGTGGTTCGAGTATCAATCATGAATACCTAAAGACAAATCCACAAGCATTGTAGTTAACTCATGACAAAAAGCAAGCCCATCAATAACAATTAATAAAGAGTTGAGTTGATGGCACTATAGGTATGTACATACATATGTCTCATTAGGGCCATCATTAACAACAGCATTTCGGGGGATGCTAATCTTTCAACAATATTGTATGACAATGGAGCTTAAGAGGCACACAGAACCTCACATAAATACGCATTTTGAAGTACATTTCATGTATAGTACACAGTCCTATGAATGTTGATATTGATTATCGTTTCCGTTGTGTACATGCTATATGTTACATACTTAAACACATACACTTGTAGTACACATTATACCATCGAAAGGTCATACAATCACAATCAGGGATCACTTTATATTTTTCAAAACAATTGATAAGCCAAATCAGCATCCGATTTAATTGGATGAGCTCTACACATTTTCAGAACCAGCAAATTGTTTGATTCTCTAAAGTGCATTTATGTAATCAGTCATCAACCATAAATTTAACTCAATTAAGCAGGCCACTCCAGTCTTGGGACTTATATTACTTTCTCAAAGGATTATAGAAATCGACTGTACCACTTCAGTACAATTCCAAGTCCAGCACTAGTACAAGTACGTACATGCATACATAATTAGTTATCATTTGAGGCTAACATAAAAAATGACCATCGAACGCTCACCGACTCAACGCAAACAAGTAAACACTTACTCTTAGGTCAATACGAACTGCCAGAACAATGATTTAAAGAGCGACTGAGAACTACTACGGGAACTTGGAGCGAGGTGTGAGCGACACACGGCCGATCGAGACACTGAACGAAAGGCAAATCTCGTCTTCGCTTTTATTAAGTCTGGACCGGGCCGGGCCGGGCCAGGCCGGGCATCGCTGAAAGCTGAGTCGCACTCGCGACTCGGCTCAGTCGGTCGCTTGCTGCCGCTGTTGGGCCGCCGCCGTCGATCGTTGATAAGGTGAGCAGTGTGATAGGTAGAAGTGAAAATTACCCGGACCGCGCACAAGCTGTAAACAGATTGAAAACAAAATTTGAGAATTCTTGGAAATCAGGTTGAAAGTGCGGGCAGTGCTTCACCTAACTTGGAATTCCCAGCTTTATTTCAATCCATTCGTCAAAGTAGTCTAAGAATAATGTCTAGTAATCGGCCGCAGTGTTCGAAAGGTAGTCCCTTCGTCCGATGTTGGAGGCCTGCTTGTTCTGAACAGCCTCCAGCTTGGGGCACTCGGTGATGCGATGGCCAAGACCGCCGCAGTAGCTGCAACCATGGGAATCGCCCAGGTCCAGGTGCTGGTGCTCGGCCTCAGGTGCCAGTTCGTCGAGAAAATCGGGCACCTCCTGCTTTCCCTCAAGAAGGAGGTGCTTCAGATCCAGAAGTACAGACTGTTCGGTAATCTTGTTGATAAGTGTGGTGGCCAATCCCTTCGTGTTCGAACGGCCCGTTCGACCAATTCGATGCACATAGTTTTCAATATCGTCCGGCATGTCGTAATTGATGACATGTTGCACGTTTGGGAAATCCAGACCCTTCGAGGCGACGTCTGTGGCCACAAGCACGTCTTTCTTTCCCACGCGGTAGGCGTCGACGGCTCGGGAGCGCTCCTCCTGGTCTTTTCCGCCGTGTATGGCCACCGCCTCGACCCCCTTCAACAGCAAATACTCGTGTATGCAGTCCACATCCTGCTTCTTCTCGGCAAAAATAAGCACGGGCGGCGCAGTCTTCTGTAGGCAGTCGAGCAAGTAGACCACTTTTGCCTCCTGCTTCACATATTCCACCTGTTGGGTGACGTTCATAGAAGCGGCTCCAGCTCGCCCAACATTTATAGTGACTGGTTTCACAAGGGCTGACCGGGCAAAGTTCTGAATCTTTTTCGGCATTGTAGCCGAGAACAGGAGGGTCTGGCGCTGGCCCTTGAAGAAGGAGAAAATTGTTCGGACATCCTCCTCGAAGCCCATGTCAATCATTCGGTCAGCCTCGTCCATGCATAGATATCGGCACATGTCCAGCGTGAGGATCTTTTTATCCAGCATATCCATGAGTCGTCCGGGCGTCGCCACAACAATGTGGACGCCTCGGGAGATCACTTCCAGAGCCTCGCTAACCGGCAGCCCTCCCATGGCCAGACAGGAGCGCACCTCAGGCATGCCACAAGCCTGCAGGTGTTTGCTGTAGTGCTGAATGATCTCGTGCGTCTGTTTGGCCAACTCCCGAGATGGACAAATGATCAGCCCGTAAGGCCCTTCATTACGTTCAAAGGGCAGACTATACTCCTGCTCAAGCGCGAACATGAGGAGGGGCAGCACAAAGACCAGGGTTTTGCCGGAGCCAGTGAAAGCAATTCCAATGAGATCCCTGCCAGCGAGGACGGTGGGCAAGCCTTGGACTTGGATCGGAGTGGGAGTCTTAATACCCTTGGCAGAAAGGCCGTCGAGTATGCCCTTTGGAAATTTCATCTCGCGGAAAGTGCGTATGGGGGGGCTGGGATTCTCGCCCTCCACTAGGATCCTTAGGTGTTTCTGGATTGCTTGTCGCTCCTCCTCAGGCATCGCTTCTATGTAGCGCGGCGGCCTCCAGGATGTCTTAATGGGATCCTCGTACTGTATGCCCTTGGCCAGCTCGGCCACTCCCATCAGTGCCTTCTGCTGGGCAATGCTTTCCATGATCTTAGCCTCCTCTCGAAGCTGTTTCTCCACAGCGCTTAGTTTCTTTGCCTCCGCTATCTTTTTCAGCTCCGTGTGCTGGTCCAGTAAGCTGATGTTGTACTTACGTCCATAGGTCTCTGCATCGTGGGCACCCTGCGAGTCGTCGTCGTTCTCATTTTCGCTGGACGACTTGTGCTGTGCTGTTTCGGACGCCAGTTGGACGACGCGCCCTAGCTTCACCATGTGCTGCTTTTTCCGCTCTCTGACAGGCACATACGGTACATAGTCATCGTTATCCTCTGCTCCATCATCGGATGACTTTGAAGTTCTTCTGTATCTCTTTACATTTGCCATTTTGTTGATAAATAATTTGTAATGAAATCAATTTAATAAAAAACGTAAACAAATGCACAGCTGCAGTACGATAGTTGTATGACGATAGTCGATATTCAGATACCGATACACAAGACTCGTGAGTTTTTTAAACTGCTCACACCAGGGCTGCACGGTTGCGTTTGCTGAAAACGTTGTTTTATTTAAATTGTATAATAGCACGATAATGGAATAACGCAGAACAAAATATGCACATTAATATATTTTTTTTAAATTTAATCGCTACAGCGAAATTTTGAAGGTTTTGAAACATATTTTGAAACAGGTACAAATTTTACTAACAATTTTTAACTGAAAAAGGAGTTGTTTGCCGAACAAACACTCAAAATATATTGAATCCACATTAATATGTTCGTTTTTTAAAATACTTTTTCTATTGCTTCTGTCTTTTTTTATTAACCAGCGATTCGACGACGGAATATAGAATATTTCTATACATTTTAAGGGACTAGCGAAAGACCATCAAATACCCATATTCTACTATATTAAATGTCTTGTAACTGACTAGTGATCGGCCGCTATCAAACAATTTGTGCTGGAATACATTTCACATTGGTTTTCAACGATTATATGATAATCTGATTTTGCCAGCGCCCACATTTCTCGGATCTGAGTTCCAGCTCGGGCCAAGTTCGGTATATGTCGTATTATTTCAGAGTGTCATGCAGTATATTTTAGCGATAAGTCCGTGGTCAAACTGGTCACACTGCATCCTAAAATTTCAAGATAGCAAATTAAAGAAGTAAAAAAATAAATAATCGTGGCGTCGTCATGTCTATGTCAAAGACCACAAACACCTACAATCGGCAGAACTGGGAAGACGCCGAATTCCCGATTCTCTGCCAAACCTGCCTGGGGGACAATCCGTACGTGCGCATGATAAAAGAGCGATTCGGGAAAGAATGCAAAATTTGCACGCGTCCTTTTACCATATTCCGCTGGTGTCCAGGAGCGCGTATGCGCTTCAAGAAAACGGAAATTTGCCAGACGTGTGCACGACTAAAAAATGTTTGCCAGACATGCCTGCTGGACCTGGAGTACGGACTCCCAATTCAAGTGCGAGACGCTGCCCTCAAGGTGGCGGACACTATGCCCCAAAGTGATGTTAACAAGGAGTACTACATACAGAACATCGACGCACAACTTCAGGATGGCGATGGCACTGAGGCAGCCGGAGCCGTGGGCCGCTCTCTGGCTGCCAATGAGATGCTGTCCAAATTGGCACGGACTGCACCCTATTATAAGCGGAACAGGCCACACATCTGCTCGTTCTGGGTGAAGGGTGAGTGCAAGCGTGGTGAGGAGTGTCCGTACCGTCACGATAAGCCAAACGAGCCCGACGACCCACTCTGCGAGCAAAACATTAAGGATCGCTACTATGGACGCAACGATCCAGTTGCCGAAAAGATCATGAAGCGAGCGGCTTCACTGCCAACGCTGGAACCTCCAGAGGACCGCAACATAACTACCCTGTACGTCGGCAATCTTCCCGAGGAAATCACCGAGCCGGAGCTGCGCGACCAGTTTTACCAGTACGGCGAGATTCGGTCGATTGCACTTGTGCCGCGACAGCAATGCGCCTTCGTACAGTACACGAAACGCGGCGCTGCCGAACTAGCAGCTGAACGCTCCTTTAACAAGCTGGTTATCCATGGCCGCAAAGTGAGCATCAAATGGGCCCACTCGCAAGCCAAGCAAGGAACTGCGGCCAAGACGGACAGGCGTTTTGAGGTAGCAGGCATTCCCCCGCCCAGCGCCAAACCGAATGACTACTTCAATTTGCGACAGGAGCAGATAAATGTCATGCCGGCCGGCATGAAGCTCCACCAGTTACCTTCAAACTTGGTGCCTGCCTCCGCGTACCAGATGTACGGACAACCAACCTACGCGGCACCCTACAGCAACACCAACAGCTCCACAAGCGCAACGGCCACGTCTACCTCTGGGGTGAATCTCGACTCGATCTCGATTCCTCCGCCACCTGGTCATGTGCCCTATCCAAGTCAAGATGCCACCCGCATGGGTGCTCTGAAAAAGTAATATTTTTTAACGACAATGCAATTAGCAATTTTTTACAAATTGGGAATTACTTTTGAAATAAAATCAAAGCAAGCCTCCATTTATCTCTTTTCAACTTTGCGGTAAAGAACTTCTAAGTTAAAAGAGCATTTCAAGAAATACTAAAGTCGTATTTCATGTACACCAATTTCAGTACATCATTGGGAAGCGAAATCCATGACAGAGCTGAATAGTTGTCTTTTTGTTTCCGCTGGATTTCAAGTCATTTTGGGTCCTTAATCTATCTTTTGCAGCTATGTTGGAAAATACTTCTCCCAGTTTTCTAAACCTAGTATCGGTTAGTTTATTTTAAAGCCATCTCCTAATCAAAATAATAAATATTTCCGAGACGCGCCAGCACTGTCAATATGTATGTACATATGTATATATATGTATATATTTTTAATTTTTATACCCGGTACTCGAAGACGAAATCGGGTATATTGTATTTGCGCACAAAGTTTTTTTTTCTCTCTTTATATTTACAATCTGTTTGTTTAAACAATAAGTAAATTGTACAATTATTATTAAATTAACAGAAATAGCAGTTTCCCAATGAGCCCTGCTATTATATATAACATCATTTCAGTTTGTTGGATTTATCTATCGGGGAGATCGAGAATGTGGTATCTTTTCAGTCTTCTTACTGTTCAGCTATTGTCTAATAGACTTAAGGCTAAATTATTTTCGTGGTTGTGGAGTCTGTCGATGTATTTCTTACTAGTTTTCTTTATTTCTTCTTTAATGGTTGGAATATTAAGAAGTGCACAAAGTGAATGTACAAGTGTAACGCACAGAACGAAACGTTTCCGACCCCACAAAGTATGTATATTCAAGTCAATTGAGCCATGTCTGTCTGTCCGTCCGTCTGTACGTCTGTACAGCTAGCTTCTGTATGCTCACACTGCTACAAGTGTATTTGAAAGGCCCCCGCAAAAAGGCGAAAACTTCCCAAATCTACAATTTTGAAGATAAAAGAATATCTATCTAATCACCAAATTGGGATTCGATTGGATCATTATTATAGCCACAATTTTCAGTGTCTAAACCCACCCCTTCCAGCAGCTTTTGATGTATTTTTCACATTCTCTCATTCACACTCTGCTTCTTCAGTGTGCGGGAGCGTGTTGGTGTGAGAATTGTTGTAGATGTAGATGACAGATGAAGAAGAAATGTAAAACTTGACAAAAACCGCTAAGGTACAGATGTAGTACTAAGTACCGGGTATAAAAGTTGCGACTCGTAAGAAGCGTTTTTTCTCGTTTCGATTTTTTCTCTGCATCTGCAACATTTTTTTAAGGTTTAAACAGGGCTTTAAACATGATTTCAGATCATTTTTTGTATGGCGGAACTTTTTTTTTCAAATAGTTTACGCATCCGGTATTTGTATATAGCTTTTTTAGAGGTAGCGCTTCTTTTTCACCATTCTAAAAGCTGATGAACTCATCTAAAAAGTATACACAAACTCTTTGCAACTTCAGCTTACCGTCGGGAAATATTAAGCTTTCAATTGCATAATTTATGATTTTATTGCAGAACTTGTTCAAAGTTTTGACCTTAAAAACTCAGACAGTTACATAGATATATTCTTCTTGAAAGGGTGAGGGGTAGCCACTGCAAATTAATTTCTTCATTCTGGCTGTATTAATAAGCTAATCTAATCCCAATTCAGTGATCTGATAGATATGGTCATTCCTTACGGCAAGGGAGCAGGGTTCATTTGAATAACACTTTTATCACAGCAGTCTGGAGCCAAAATTCGGTGGTTCTAGCTTTTATAGTCTCTGAGAGACGGGCGCTCAACAAGATTGACGGACAGATGGACAGACGGGCAGACAGACATGGCTATATCGATTCGGCTATTGATCCTGATCAAGAATTTATATACTTTAGAGAGTCGAAAACGTTTCCCTCTCTGCGTTACATACAGAAAACTTAGTCGAAGGCTTCCTCGAGCACTTAACCTGGTTTCGCCTGACATAACATGAGCGACACTATTCAAAGCCATCAGGACGTGCCAAATCCCCGCAGCCCACCCCCTTAGCACAAGCCTTCAAGCCATTGTAGCATTTTCTTTGGTCCACCTACGAGGTGAATTTGGTGGATTTTTCTTCGAATAAAGGTAGGGGCACGCGTGCGTGGTTTGATTTGGCAGCGTCAATCAACTTATGTCCGCGCAAATTAGCAAAAGGAAATACACTACGCTGGCTGTCATTTCGAGTTGGTAGTCGCGTTATTTCACAACAAAAATGTGGTTAAATTGATTGGCTGCGTCGCCCACTTTATGTATGTTATGCGATGTCAACTAATTAGCAAAAATAACACAGTTTTAATAAAATAAAAGCACTCTGCAATGCTAGAGATGCGATGTTGAAATATTTGTATTTATCGATATATTATGTTTATTTTGGGAGGGTTAGTTAAGTTATGTGAAAAAAGATAAGCTATACAAATAAATACCAGTTTTAAAAATGTATGCAATAGAAAAAATGTTTCATAAAGAATTTTTAAAGTTACAAATCTATCAAACAAGTTGGTGTGGTTCGAAGCGAATAAACGGTGTCGGGTAGTGGGGTAGTGTAATTAACAGCTCTGTTGGGCGGTGGTGCAAGCGCAAGGTACATTTATATACATCTGTGCGCCGTAATTTAAATACTTGCTTGACAGCAGCTTTCTTGGTCGCGCTTCCTGAACACGTTGATAATAAATTGCTGCCATGACAACTATCTTCCGTGGAACGATATTACATACGAAGGCTTTCGATGAGTTTGAGTCCTTTGAAAATGGGTTCTTGGCCGTTTCTGAGGATGGCAAGGTATGGATGAATGGAGTTTTATAATAATCTCGAGCTAAGAAGAGTTTCGTCTTCCTTAGATTATCGGCGTGGGCAACGACTACGACTCTTGGCTGTCCAGTTACAAGTGCAACCCCTCGACGCTGTCCGAGGTGCGCCTGTCTGAGGATCAGTTCTTGATGCCAGGATTTGTAGACTGCCACATCCACGCACCGCAATACGCACAGTATGGTCTGGGACTGGACATGCCACTGCTGGACTGGCTCAACACGTACACGTTCCCTCTGGAGGCGAAGTTCTCCGACCAGAGCTACGCCCTCAAAGTCTACAAGAGAGTTGTCGTAAGCGTCAATTAACCGTCAATAAGGCCCAGTCATAATTTTCGTTGCTTATCAATTCTGTCGCACACTGTCACAGTCTTACACTAACTCATAAACGAACGATCGCGGTCTCCCGCAGATCGCTGATTGCCTATTGCCCCATCCATCCGATTCACTCTCAAATACACATAGCACTTGATTGTGGCGCTTGAAGTGCTGATAATGTGATACGATACCCCTACCCCCATAGGAAGCAACGATACGCTGTGGAACCACTTTGGCCTCCTATTTCGCCACCAACAACCTTGAATCCACACTGATATTGGCACGGGAAGCTGCTCGCCAAGGCCAGCGGGCGCTTATCGGCAAGGTGTGCTCTAATTGCAATAGTCCCGACTATTATGTGTGAGTACCTCGTACAGCCGTCACAAGGTATCGGACTCAAAAACTTTGTTTTGCAGTGAAACGGCGGAGGAGTCGGCAAAGGCGACTGAAAAATTCGTTGCAGAGTTGCAGGGTCTCAAGAACCCTCTTGTGCTTCCAACTATTACCCCGCGGTTTGCACTCAGCTGCAGTAAGGAGCTCTTGCAGGAGTTGGGCGACATAGCAAAGCGTCTGGACGTCCATGTTCAGAGTCACATCAGTGAAAACCTTGCAGAAGTGCAGGTGGTGAAAGGCATTTTTAAAACCAGCTATGCTGGGGCCTACGACAACGCTGGCCTGCTAACCAAAAAGGCGAGTCAAGTCTTTTGTGCGACTGTAGTTTGGACTAATTTCATCTTTGTCTTCTACAGACCGTGATGGCGCACGGTGTACATCTCGAGGACGAGGAAATTGCACTCCTGAAGCAACGCGGGACATCCGTTGCCCACTGCCCCGCATCGAATACGATGCTAAACTCCGGTATGTGCGACGTTCAGCGCCTGATCAATGCCGGTGTAACTGTGGGACTGGGAACAGACGTGTCGGGTGGGAACTCGGTCTCCATCCAGGATGCCTTGCTTCGCGCCTTGGATGTGTCCAAGCACTTGGACTTTTTTAAGAAACAGAACATTCGCGGTACGGGCGAGGCCAAAAGTCCCGACCCGAAGTACGCCCAGCTGAAGTACAAGCAGGCACTCTACTTGGCCACACTTGGTGGCGCCAAGGCCCTCTCTCTCGACCACATGACGGGCAACTTTTTGCTGGGAAAGGAATTCGATGCTCTTCTGGTGGATGTCAGCGTCGTGGAGAAACCAGTGCGTCCGCTCAATGTCAATGAGCTAATCGAGAAATTCATCTATACTGGCAACGATCGCAATATTATAGAGGTCTTTGTGGCCGGCAAACGAGTCAAGGCACCCGAGTCAGCGTAGGGAAGTCGGATATAACAGTTACATTTCACAAGGAAACGAACATAGAGAATTTATTATCTTGCGGACATAATCGTAAATGCTGAAGTGAGACTTTCGTTTCACTTATAAATAACATTATCTATATATACTCATGTATGTACACTTGGAGGATTGCCATGGAGTCAACACTAACAGCTTCAATTACAGCTTGTACATTTACAAAAACTTCATTCAACTTCTTAACATCTCAGGATGCAATCGTAGATAGCGTATAGTTGTAAGTATTATAATCACATATTGGCTAAATGGGCTACACGGACTGGTAAAGGGTTTCATTTGTGAAACGATAATATTTTAAGAGGGCATGATACATATGTATATATGTACGTTGCCTACAGGTCGAGAAGATTACTTAAATTGCCTGCAAATTAGGGTGGGAGAAAATGATAATGAAATAATTGAGGGCTTTTCCCAGCATCAGCATGGATCATGGAGCGTGTGGCGGCAGGGGGAATGTAGGCGTTGGCTTGATTAACATACAAATTAAGTAAATTGTCCATAAATAGGGGTCTCGTTTGGGCTAGCCAACATGCCTGAGCCTTTGGCGGCATAGGCAAAACACTCGACTCGTACTCTCACTTTACATACTTAAGCTTACACTCTTAAATGGCTTTACACTAGTTTCAGCTAATTGTAGGATAGTAAGAGCTAAATAAGACAGGCTATAGACTATATGTATATATAGACGTAAGATGCGTTTTACGCATTGAACATGTTCTGCTGCGTGGCATCGTTTTCGAAATCGGTCCACGCGTTGTTCAGTTCCATAAAAATTAGCTTGGCAATCTCCTCGTTCTCTGTCCCATTGTGCTGATAAGTTCGAATGTTACAGAGTGTATTCAAAATTGTTTGCGAGTTTCAGGACTCACCTTGTCAGGATGCACGGCCAAACAGGCACGGCGATAGGCCTTTTTCACCTCGGCGGGCGTCACCATGGTAGACATTTCACAACGCTGCCATTTGGCGTTCTCCCACAGCACCGAATGCATAGAGCTAAGAAGAGCCCGAATGTTGTTCTTTTTACCATCGGTCTGTAAGTAGGATTTGTGATTTGTGGTGACCATGACCCCCATGGACATGCGTTGTAATCATTGCAATTATCCTTACCCATTCCATAATGCGAACTTTCTTGGGGTCCATGTCCTTGACGAGCTCTTCTTTGCGCATTTCGTTGATGGACCGCGGACCGTGACTCAATTTGCTGCCAAACGAGTATCCCTGCTGACCCAGGATGTCTGCAAAGATGTCAGAACCCTTAGGCACTCCAGCTGTGGCCTGCTGCGGTGCTTTTGTTGAATCGAAGTGCGCGCGACTGTAGTCCGCACGCCCCTGGGCAGGGGTGGACTGCTGTGGCGGAGGAGTCTTTACAAATGTGGGCTGTGGCTGTGACGGAGGCGGCGTCTTCACAAATGTTGGTTGCGGTTGCGGCTGGGGCTGGGCCTGTTGCTGGGACTGGGCTGCCTTGTGTGTGGGGCTTGAGTACTGAGTGGGCTGGGGACTGTTGCCCACCGGGGACTTTCCACTAAGTGTACTGCGATTGAAGTTTATGTTGAGTCCAGAAGCTAGATTAGCAATGTCCGCAAAGGGGTCCGAAGGCTTTTGGGACTGCGAGGGTGACGGATTTTTTCGGGCAGGTGCTGGCTGGCTTGCAAAAGTTGGAACAGCTCCCACAAAGGGCGGAAGTCCTGCACTAGTCGAGGGCTTAAGGCTTGGAGTAATGTTTTGGTCGGCTGAACCAAAGATGTCGAACAGGTCAGAGTTGATTTTTGGCAGCGCCTGCTGCGGTGGAGGAAGAACGTCCGGCACTGATGTCGACCCAATGCCAGTAGAGTCATCATCGCCGAACGCTCCCAGCAGGTCAAAGCTGGCATCAGTGCTGGGCATTGCGCTTGCCAGGGGATCTGCGGCTGGTGCATCACTCGGCTGCTGGTTGAGATTAAGCAAATCGATGGGCGGCGATGGCTCCGGCACAGCAGTGGGAGCATCATGCGCTATTTCGGTGACATCGGGCAGCACAAGCGGAGAGCTGGATCGCTCTGGTTTCCTCGCTGGTGGCGGCGACGCACGCTTGGTTGGCTTTGTAACTGAAAATGCAGCCGTGTAGTAGGTAGCAGTCCAGGAGTAGGATCAAGCTTACCGAAGTTGTCCAGCATCTCGGCATATTCCAGGTCCGAACTAAACAATGTGTGCGCCGAGCGCTTTGGCTTGGCTGGTATCCATGGGGGCTTGTGGCTGGGCGGGCTCTCCGACTCTGTCACAGCCAACGATAGCGACACGCAAAAGTTTGGCGTCACCTGCTCCGGATCTGGCAAGTCGTCGAGGTCGTGGCTTCTGAATGTAATCAAGGTTTCCGGCTCGGGGATAAAGCCCGTGTGGATTTGAAACTGACAGATCTTCAGACCCTGGGGCCGCACCATCCCCTTAAGTGCATTCCGGGCATGGTATAGTACTATTGTAACATCGCCGCATACGGTCAGATTAATGGGCAGCACAATTTTTCCAGGGCCGGCCAGGTGCAGACTGCAGAATACTCAAAATATTAATTACATTTGTCCCTTACCGCACCAGTAGGCATGCCCAGTGGCTAGGCCAACTCATTCACTGCATGCTTACCGCATCTTGTCGTAGTCCTGCAGTGTGCTGACCAACATCTTCTCGTTGCAGTAGACCTCCATGTAGATCCGGCACCCGTCCCGCGCTTTGGTCATTCGAGGAACGGGCTGACAGGTGAGCGCCACGAGATTGATGTTCTTATAGTGAGGCAGCAGCGGCGTCGGTCTCAGGATGTCGCCGAAGTAGTACAGAAAACGAAACTCAGATGGACGCAGATTGATGGTGTGCCGCTTGACCGCAAACACCTGCACAGCGTCCTCCGGCTCGTGAAGAAGGTCCGCGTACATGAGCAGCGCACAAATCACGGTGGCAGCTGTGCACCCTCCCGAATCGCCAGTTTGCACCACCACAATCGACTTAGGATCTGCGTTGAGGAAGTTGTAAATGTCCGCCGACACAGTGAAGAGACCCTAAAGGAACGACGGAATACAGAGAGCGGAGCTAGTACGGGCACTCGACGCAAATACAATAATGATTTGAAAAGTTCCCTTTTCTACACACCTGTAGATTGGGCGCATGTGCCTGGGGGCAACCATAAACGGAACCTGCCTCCACCGTTCGCACAGGCGGCGGGAGACGGGGCACGGTGCGCTGTCCAAAGTTGTAAATACTGATCTTATGGGGGGCGAAGCGACTTTCCAGGGACAGGCGGACGTCTTCGATGTTGTTCGTCTTGTATGCCGACTCGAAGCCATCTGATGGACAGGGCATGACCAGAATCCTCGAGGTAATATGGCTGATATCGAGATCGTTACGAGCTATTGACTGCTGCATTGTCTGCATGACCTTAGTGGAGGTGTCTTTGAGGTTTTTGAAGAGCGTGCCAGCTCCTCCGCGCAGCGACGACAGCAGACTTCCCTGTCCATTGCTGGAACCAGGGGCAGTCCCAGCGGTGGCTGCAGCGACAGAAGCTTGCGGCGCAGGGACAGGTGGTGCATCGGTATAAAATTCCGATTGTGTGGGCGTGTTTCTCGCCGGACTCTCGGTCGGTGACGACGTGATCGGAATTCCGCGCAGGTCTATCGGGCCTTTCAGGGACCAGTTGTTTGTTTCCGCTATGGCCGCCAGTCGTTCGAGTATCATGGAGATGTCCAAACGCTCGACTGGATTGATTTTGAAGCAACAGTTGATGATGTCCCGGAAGCACTGATATCGTGGCTCGGGCGGCAGGATGTAGTTGGCATTAATGATGCGCAGCTTGCCCCCATCCTCGTACGGGTGTCTTCGATAGCACAGAAAGTAGAGAATGCATCCCAATGCCCAAATATCCGCCTTGGTGCCAATCGGATTGTTCGACCAGGTGTCCAGCATTTCGGGTGCGCGGTACATGGGCGTCGTTACAGTGTTCAGCTGGTCCTCCAGCATGTTGCGCTGGTGCGCACTCCATTCAAATGTCGGCGAGAGGATTTCTCTGCTTGCAGAGCCAAAGTCGCACAGCTTGATCTGCTTGTCGTTTCCGATAAGGAAGTTCTCGATCTGCAAGGCAATAGGATAAAGGGGTACAGATAGCAATATGGGTGGACTGCTTACCTTTATGTCCCGGTGGGCAATGGGCGGCTCCTGAGCGTGCATGCATGCGACGGCCCGTGCCATTTGGTAGAAAATTCGCAGCACGACTGGCGGGTCTATGGCTCCATTGTCCACCTTGAAACAGTCCACTAGAGAGCCGCCTGCAAGCAAATGCGACAGGAAATGTAAGAAAGCAATCCGATAAATTACAATCCCTTACCCTTGCAGAGTTCCGTCAGCAGCAGATACTGAACGCCCTGCTGGGGCTGCTGCGGCGCTGCGGCCACACAGCTGGATCCGACGAAGGCCACAATATTCCCATTGCCCGAGAGCTGCTTGTGGACGTCGATCTCGTTGGCGATGGCAATGCAGGCCTGCTGATCGGCCCCAATCAGGCGCTTGAGGGCGTACTCGGTGCCAGTTTGCACATCTTGCGCGACATACACGAACGCATAGCCGCCTGAAAGAGGGAGGAAGCGAGTCGAGCGGGTGAGGAGCATACAACTGCTGATAACATACAACTCTGATAAGAAGGCATTTTAATTTCATTTACAGTGAACACTCTCTGCGATGGACAATGACCCCGTGGACACCGTCGCGTGCCTAGCCAAAAGGGGAGGGGCCAAGCGAGCTTTCGCTAGTTCCTTTTCTAAATGTTCGGCCAGAGTTCTGCTAAGAAATGCTCTCACTTATATAAGAAACGAGCCGCGCAGACAAGTTTGACTTGTGATCGCAAATGCTTTCTGTGCATGCGTGATTCATAGGTCAGGGAAACGTTAAAGGTACGCAAACGATGGTACGAGCAATGTGATACACTGAAAACCAACGTCGCGAAGCTCGGTGTCAGCGGAACGCCTCAAAATATACGCGGATTTTTTGGCTGCCATCGCATTTGAGGCCCGACGAGGCGAGTTTTTCTTGGAAAAGACAAAATCAGAAAGCGTAAACAAAGAGCCCGCCCCTTGCGTTGCATCGCGTTGATGTGTCGCCTTCAAGCTACCATTCAAAGCGTTGGTTACGCTTCCTATTGATTTTTTGTGTGCTCTCCTTGTTGCATCTGATCTGCCAGGGTGGCTGCACCCACTCCTCTTACCTTCGGCTATGACGCACTTGGTGCGCAACTTGTGGCCCCCAACCTCGACGAGCTGGCCAACGTATTCGTTGTCCAGTCTGCCACTGTTTGTGGCTGTTACAGCGCCTCCTGCGGCCCCGTTGGCAGCTGTGCTGCCGTCGCTGGTGTTGAAGTAGCTGAAGTTCAGCGACTTGAAGAACTCCCCCATTGTGCAGGATGACTAACGACGTAGCGGACTGTCTGAAACTGTTTAACGCGAACGATTTAGTTTGAGCTTTTTTGTGTTTATCAGAATTGAAACATTTTTTTTTGTGACCACAAAAAAAATCAACCAATGACCAGCAGTGTGACCGCGGAAATATCGATTAAATAAATCGCAAAATCGTCAAAGATATACCAAAATATACCTTTTCATTTTTAAAATATACCGTAATGTTAAATCCTCGATTTTGATTTAATATTACATATTACAGCTAACTAGAAATCGCAGCTCTAAAACTATAATTTTTTCCAGGAATAATAATCATTATAGTTTTATTAAAAAAATTATACGACAATGATTAACTGTCAAGTTATATTGAAACACTGACAATTTAATGATTGGGTTTGAGTTTTACTTTACTACTCAATCAATAATAATTAGGTTTGAGCAAAAAAATAAAACTCAAGATTATTCGTTGATTTTTATTATTTGCTCAAAAATAAAATTATTCCTTAAATTTGTACTTATTCTTACGTGGTAAATGGAAAAGTTATATTTATTATTGTTGGTCTGGGCTCACTGATGAAGAATAAATATAACGGAAATGTGAGATGCTTCTCACGCGTCACAAATGTTATAAGAGGTACTCAGTAGTAAAACTGTCTTTAGTGTTTTTTTTCAAATTTTACATATTTTATACATATGTATGCATGTTATCTTCATCTACGTCACTTCTCACGACAACACGCACTTTTAGCTCGTCCCGAAAAATAAAAATGATGCTGAACGTGGTGTGGGTAGTCACTGCAATTGAATTTCTTCATTCTGGCTATAATAATGATCCAATCTGATCCCAATTCGGTGATCTTGTATCTATGATCCTTTCCTACGGTATGCACCTTTGCTTGCCCGGAAGGGGACGGGCCGAAATTTTGAAATACACTTCAGTGTGATATCCCGACATCGGATGCAAAATTGGCTCTAATGACTCTAGCTTCTATAGTCTCTGATAACCAGGCGCTCATCAAGACGGACGGATAGACGGACTGACAGAAAGACGTGGCTATATCGACTCGGCTGTTGATGTTGATCAAGAATATATATTATTAATGGGGTCGGAAACGTTTCCTTCTCTGCGTTACATGCATACATCCATCTTTTCAAAGATTCTTTTAAACATTAATATTGATTGATTAATAATATTGTCTATAGTCTATAGTCTAATATCTTAGACTTTATCTTTTACTAGCAAGCTAGGATCCGCTGCACTAAACTAATTCTGTGGTAATCCGAGCATAGGGGTCTAATTAAAATTAAAATCTGATCTACAAAGCGGAAGAAATAAAAGAAATTTATTACGCATTTAATAACCTTTCTATTAGATAGTATCTAATTATCTAATAGTTTTAATAATAATATTAGATCAAGTCATTCAAAATGAACTTTCACGGCGACAGAAAATGTTCTCTAATCTGTTCTCTGAAGAGAATTTGACAATTGCTTCGACCATGATAGAAGCTTTAGTTGCCCGCATCGTTGCATTATGGGTTGGAAATTATTGAAGCATTGTGAACAAGTACAAATATGCCTGCATATTTCACATTTTTTCAACCACATGTGTCTTTGAACCGAGGCGAGGTCACTCTTCGAGTATACATATGCCACGCCAGCTGCAATCAAATTCAAAGTTTCCTATATGAAGTCACAAAAACAGAAATTCACAAATCATTGGGAAAACCAACACCAGCACTAAATTTACCTTCCATTTCTCCCTTTCCCCTTTGATTGCCGTTTTCCATGGGACCGTGGACCGTGGACCGTGGACCGTGGACCACGGATCGGATCAGATGGGTGGTGGCACTGGGGGAAAGGCGGAATATGACTTGTAAACCTTTCAAGGCGCTTGCCAGCCACCCCGCCTGCCCAACGTGCAATAAAGCACACAAATTGTCTTTCTTTGTTTGAGCCAAGTTCGTTACGTTATGTTTGGCCCAATGGTAACTGCTGCTGTGTCTCTGGCTCGGGCTCTGGCTGTAACTGCAGCTTAAGGCAGATGTCTGAGGGCTGATGGTTGATGGTTGATGGTTGAAGTCTGATGGCTGGCGGCTGATGTTGCCGCAGGTTTGCGCAAATTGAGCTGTGCTGTAATTTTGACACACTTTAGAGTGTCAAGTGTGCAATTTTCTGTTACAATCTTGTGAGTTCCACGTAACGCCTTAAGATTGTTAAAATGCAAATTGTGCACTCGCTTATCTATCAGCGGGTAAGAGCCCACAGACCACAGAGCTCGTTCATTAATGCGCTTGCGAGACAACACTATCTATCGATCGACGTGATCTGGCATTGACACATTTAACGGCTATTTTCGTTTTGGGGCATGTCGCATGTCGCAGTACCCAAACCAGACCAAAGCTAATGCAAGTCAATAAATATTTTCCGAGCCATTTAGCGGCCAGAACACCCGCTGGAATAGTGTTCTACTGGGGGCAAACAAAATAGTCATTCTGTTTGGACAATTGTGCCGGGGAGCACGCGCCTAGAAAACCCCAAAAACAAGTTCTCACTGGACAGCTGTCCAACCTGCAACCTCCAACGTTAAGTGGAGCACAGCCTAGAAACATGAATTTACACCTGCGAGATTTCCTTGGAATGGAACTGGTTCACCTACTGGCAGCCATTGCCATTCTGGCCGTGCAAGGGACGGAGGCTCAGTTCTACTACCCAATGGCCACTACGGAGCCACCGGAGCTGCCAGTGGATCATCGGCAACGCTTCCTGCTCTACAACCCCTTCAATGGCCAGCAGCTGGAGCCGCTGCGATACATGTCCTTTCTACGGGGCTATAACCGCCAGGCGGGGCAGGTCAGCGGAAACCTTGTGGAGCTTCCGCAACTCTGGCAGCCCTGCTCCTGCTCGGAGTTCATCTGCCGGTGCTGCCTGGGCCTGGTTTTCGGTTTCGGGGAGTCCTTCAACCAGCGCGTTTGCACGTCCATCGAGTACAGCCGAGCGGATCTGGGCCTCCGCCTCAGTATCGAAGTGAACCAGAGGTCTGTGGCAAACTTTGGCTTCTCGGCCCGCAACCCGCCAGACTATTGTGTCCCGCTGCTGCTCCCGCTGCCGCTGTTCAGCTGCCTACGGCTCTACGACATCCGGGCCTACGGGGAGGGCAATGTGCAGGTCTGCATATCGGTGGTGTTCAAGGTGCTGGTCAGCCAGTTCTTCGAGTATCGCTTCAACTGCATCCGCTTTGGAGTCAATGGAGTACACTTTGTGCGCGATTCTCAACAGCAGTACCAGGACAAGGAAAAGGATCAGGGGCAGGCCGGGGAAGTGGAGCTGGACAAACGGGGAGTAATGACCGTAAAAACACCAGAGAAGGTCCCCAAGAGCTTTAAGACGCCTAATGACAACTTGGCGGCCTCTGGCAGCCGCTTGGATTTCCATCCCATCTAATGTGTGTCTTTCTCATGTTGTGTCTACCATTTCTCATCATGATCCATTCCACTCCATGCCTCATTCTACAAGTATTACACGTTAAGTAAAAAAGTGAAATTTCTGTTAATTAAAAAGCTTTTTATTCCGCGCCCCAGCCCCAGCCACAGCCCCACCGTCACTGACAAACAGAGCGCCATGAAAATTGCGAAAATTGCCAATAAAACTCGAGTCTTACTTCGGTTTTGTGTGAGCGGTGATGCGACTTCTGCTCTGCATGAGATTTTAAAATATACAATATATGTACAAAATATACTGTCTACTCTTACTCAAACACAACATACAACACACCTACATCTGACCACTTTCGTTAACGAGCACTTGGCGCACTTGGCAATTATTTTCTGGCCGCTATCGGTTCACTCATCTGCGGAATCTTCTCACCTCACTTTGCTACAAATGGTGGAGGGAGGGAGGAGGAGCCCAGGCTGGCTAAACTCCTTGCGACATACCGAAAGTACCATGGCAAAACCCATTCAGTAAGCTACGAGTACAATAAATAGTTGCTGATTGGTTCAAACAATTTGGGAAATGATTTAGCTTGAATTAATTCATAATTCTAATAAATTGATGATGTGGCACACACAGTTAGACTGTGACAATTCTTCCCTATATTTAATTTTCGAACATCACCCAACAACAAGAAACGTAAAAACAAATTATCATCTATTCTGCGGTGTTTCCCTAGAACCGTCATTGCCTCTAAGAGTGATAGTTTTTTTGCAAATTCGAATTGGATTTAATCAGGATGATCAGTAAAGAAGACACAAATGGTTGGTGTCGAATAAAGACGTGACGTTTTCAGATGGCAGATGTACCATGAGATCGGATTCGTTAGGGAAACCTACAATTTGAGGGATCGGCCAGGTGCAGCGAACATGTTGTGCTTGAGTGACAGGACGTTGCCGAAAAGCGAATCCGCCAGGTTGTGCTTCCGAGAGAAAGACACGCACTCTTTGTATCCGACAGCTTTGGGTACAACGCATTGCGGCTGGGCAGAGCTCAACTGAGGCCCATGTCGTTGTTTGTCGGGGCTTGTGGCAGTTGCGCAATTGCTGCTCGCTCACTTCGACTGCGTCTTTTATTTTGGCATACTCCGGCTTTGTTTGCTGTCTCGACCAATGCTTCTCCACCTCTCCACCTCTCCATCTCTCCGCCTCAGTTTCTTGGCTCGAGAGTAATTTTTGCTTTGGCTAAAGAGATAGCCTGTCTTCGTCGCGTCTGGTCTCGTCGCCCGGTCTCTGGTGAGCGTGAGCGTGAGCGTGAGTGCTGGTGGTGGTGGTGGCGTTGGCATCAGCGGTTTAGCCTTAACTGTTGCTACTACCGCTGCCGCTGCGGCTGCTGCCTCGTCAACGTCTCTGTCGGCCTCCAAGCATACATGTGTATACATAATAATTTTTTTTTACTTTTCTGTCGTTTTCCAGCTCGCTGCTTTTTTACTTGCAAGCAAAAGTTTTTCATGTGCCGTCAGTTGTATTTCGGTTCGCGCCGCGATCTGTCGCACACTTCAGTAGAGTCGTAGTCGTATCCCAGGAAACAAGTCCCTCGCATCCCACAGCGCACTTTCGTAGCATCAGCATCAGCAGCGTCTTGGAGACCAATCTGAGAAGCAAAAACCCAACAATCTTGGAATATCCCCGATCCGAAGCGACCACACCAGACCAGATCCGACAACAATGTAAGTTGATATCGGCCAAAGCGTCGTATGCGTAACATTTGCTGCTGGGAACGGGGGGATGGATACCTCGGAGCGTCTGTCGCGGCCTCTAGTCTTTGGTTTCGGAGCCTAATTTCTGCATAGATAATCAAGGAGTATTCCCGTTGAGTGTCCCATGGAAAATGTTGCCTCGCTTTTTTCGGATTAAAACCGACCTACCTCAATTTTCCTCGTGAATTGGCGTCGAGTGCTCTCCGCTTCCCAACACATTCTGTGATAACTTTTACCTTTTTGGATCGTGCGAGGGCCAAGATTAAGATGAAGATGAAGAGGAAGTTGAAGAGGAAACAGCAGCGGCTGCACCGCTTTGAGCCGGGTGACGGTGACGTCGAGTGACATCAAACCCACAAATCTGCGGCAGACAGTCAGACGCCGCACTTTGCCCTTCGCACCGAAAGTAAGAAGAGTTTCACTTTCAATTGCGACACCCGACACCCGGCTCCCGGGAGAGCTTGGACCTATCTTATGCTGCAGAGGGCATCGTCGTCTTCATCGTCATCGTCCATAGTGCTGTGATGAGTAACCGCATATGTAATTAAAAAACATAAAAAAGATGCTGGCAAAAACCATAATCCGGAGGGGCAGAGGCCAAGAGCAAGAGCAAGTGCACAGCATCTCTAAACTTTACGATCTATGAAATTTCACATTTCATTGTAGCAATGGTCGCCGCAGGGGAGTGCGGGGAGTGGGTACAGACGGTACGAATGTGTATGGGAATGGATGGGGACGGAGGTGCGGTGAGGATGGGCAAACAGCAGGAAAAAATCATGTAAAGTTTCTCACTTTTGGGTGGGAAATGTTAATCACGAAAAGTAAAAGTGAAATTAATACAGTGTCGACAGCAGCAGCAGCAGCAACAGCAACAGCAAACCGCATTAGCCGCGCCACATTTGCATTTCGCACATGACATGAGCAACAGCAACAGAAACAGAAATTACAGCAATCGTTGATAACAATAAGCGGCGGAGCCAGCGACCGTTCAATTGCTGCCCGGCCACGTCTTCGGAATCGCCCCGACTACCAATGACAGACAGCTCCCACTCCCCATTCCCCTGAATTGGATGCATTCAGTGCACTGCTGTGGAGAGCAATATGTGGGCGTAACCGTAATTTCAATTCAGCCTTTGTTGCCAGATCCCCCTTATCGAGGAGCGTGCGACGTGACGTTGAAGTTGATTGACAATCTAACAAGAGGCCGAAGAAGTTAATGGAAGGGCTCTGCCGGCTGTCGGCATAAGTGAGAGTTGCCCTTCTGGGACCACAGATTCTACCATCGCTGCCACAGAACGTCACAGAGGGAAATATCGCAGAAAACAAAACGATTTCGGGCCAAAGTTTCCACATCGGACGAGAAACTCACTCTCCGATTAGGTGTGCATCGCTTGTCACTCCGCCGTTTGCATGCAACAGGCATAGCTGCTGGAAAGAAAGGCGACTGAAGCACGTGTGGGGGCGAACTTTTTGGATAACGAAACATATCACGGCAGATCGGATTATAATTGCAGTTAACATTTCAACACTCGTTCCGAAAATGGTTAATAGTCACAATGCGCGCCCTCCTGAACCCATAACCCACCACCAAGTGACGTAACTGCCGAAGTGCTGCGAAGCCGAGGAGCTGCAAACCGATGAGCAAGAGTTGCCGAAAAAGCGAACAATACAGTCATGACATTGAAGCGTGCTCAGCGACGACAACGTCGACGCCGACGAAGACGCAGACGCAGAAGTCGACGCCACTGCAGTTGCCGGCCAGCGTCCTAAAAACGCTGACCAACGCGAAAGAAAGAGGAGCGGAAAAGAGACCAAGCGCTCAATGGCAAACATTGACTCATGTTGTTGTTGTTGCTGCTGCGCCAGTGCAAAAAGCAAAACTCGTTTTTATTTCATTTTGTTGCTGTTACAGTGGGACGGTTTCGTAACAACAACAAAGGCAAATGAAAAAGCAAAAGCAAAGACTTCGGGACCCCGCTGCCGGAGCGGGTTCACTGGGGAGCAGCCGCGAGTCGGCGCAGTCGGCCGCATCGAGTTGAAAGTGAAAGTCGCTCCGTGCGGAGCGTTTTGGGCCGGCGCGCACAGCCCCATACTTAGCCACCCAGAGCTTCGGCTTCAGCTGCCGCCAATCCGAATCCCAGTCCCAATCCCAATCAGAGTCGTTGTCGTGCCGTGAACTTTCCTGTGCGCGTTTATATTGAAATTGCATTTTACAATTTAAAATTTACTTAATTATTTCTTTTCGCATTTTGTCGGCAAATTTTCCCTCATTAGTGGCTTAATGCGTAATACTCGTATTAATGGACTGCACCCAATCACAAAATTGGATAATCAACAGATAAACGTTTTACATTCGTCGCACAAACACCCCAATAATTCGAGTAGCGTTGGAGTGTACTCTTACAGAGTGTATACAAATAGTCAGACCGGGATAATGTCGGTCTTCCATCCCAAAACATTTGAATGTACTTATACGATACGATATGACAGTCAAAGTATATTTATGAATTGCCAAGTCAGTTACTCTAGTTTGCACGCAAAACGGAACATTGAAATGCATTGGCATTGCACTATGGTGAATTTGACAACTCTTTTTCCACAAAATAATATTATTATTATAATTGATTTACTTTTTCGATAAAAGATTATATTGGTGAGAGGAAGGTATGATGAAAAAATGGACTAGGTAACGCCTTTCATTCAGTGTAAAATCACATTTTTATTATACCCGGTACTCGAAGAGTAAATATTGTATTTGTGGGGAATAACGGATGTATGTATGAAACGCAAAGAAGGAAACGTTTCCGACCCCATAAAATATATATATTCCTGATAAGCATCACTAGCCAAGTCGATTGAGCCATGTCTGTCTATCTGTCTGTCTGTCCGTCCGTTCGTCTGTCCGAATGTCCGTTCTTATGAGCGCCTAGTACTCAGAGACCATAAGAGATGGGGCAACCTAGTTTTGCATCCAGACTTCTGTATGCACTGTTACAAGTGTAAAATTTCACCACGCCCCTTCCGGGAATGATATATATATCAGATAACCGAATTGAATCATTATTATAGACAGAATGAAGAAATGAATTCGCAGTGGGTGCGCCCACCCCGTCCAGCAGCTTTTCTTGATTTTTCTCTCATTCACACTCTGCTTCTGCAGTGTGCGGCCTCTGCCGTGTCTCTGCCTCTGCCCGGATCTAGGGGTGGGGGGCGAGCTAAAGGAGCATGTTGGCGTAAGAAGTGATGTAGATGTAGTTGACAGATGAAAAAAAAATGTAAAATTTGACAAACAACCGAGAAGGTACAGATGTAGTACTGAGTGCCGGGTATAAAAGTTGTGACTCATTAGAAGCGTCTCACCCGTCCCTTCTCGTTTATATTAAAATTGTACGATTTTTTTTCGATTTTTTAAGTTTCCCCTGTAATTTTTCAAGTTATTCGAAAAACGGTTCAGAAAATCTATAACTTTCATCTTATAAGATCCTCTATCACTCTCAAAACTAGTGACAGGCATTACCGCTTTAGTACAATGTACAATGTACAATGAACATCCTCTTTTGCTATTTTCTTCATTACTGATTTCAACATTGCAAAGAACTCTAAGTTTTCCAAATCTTCGGTCCTTCATCCTTAAAACTAGAAGTGCAGAGAAATCGCACTACAGTGCACATTGGAATGCACAGCAAATAACAAACATTGAATACTCTAGATTATGCATTAAGTCTTATGCTGCCAAGAGGTGTCACATTAATTCATATTAATTAAGCGACTAGAGACTCCGCAAAATATAGAACCATTTAATCGGTTCCAAAGCTTAAATTGTTTAATTTTAAGTTTTATATTACTCTAATATAGTTGCATCTCGCTAGCTACTAATTTAAAAGGGGTAAGCTCTGTTAAATGTTAGACTACATAACTTTGAAGATCAATGTTCTTCGGATACATATCAGATAAAAATATAATTTATTAAATTGCAGGGGCTTTTATAATATATTTTTATCTGATACGTACTTTTTCAGATTTTAATGTACTTTTGAAGAATTGGTTTTGGCCAGAAAAAGTGATCAAATTCCCCATAGGTACGAATCACTGTAATCAACGTGTACGTGAGCAGCATCTCAGAGCTGGCTGTGGTAGGGAAGGGCTTGTCACCGTCACAAATGTCGGTGGCCTACCGCCTATACTGGAGATTTTGCGACTATTAATATTTTCCTCATGCCGGAGCGGGAATCGAAAGTTGCAGTTTTTAATTGATGTTTCGCTTTCTGAGCCCAACGCACCCAGCACAGACACGCAAGTGCAACGAGAGCTTCGTAGCCGGCGATGCAGTCGAGTAAGCAGCGTTGTGGCCACAGCCGCAATCGCGCCTCTTGTCGATAATTAAATTAAGAGTACGCGAACTACGGGCAGTAGCAGGCGGAATCCGAGCAGGTGTTAGAGGAGATCACACGTTCCGCCAGCCAGGTGCCAGTTTCGGCACCACTTAGAGTACAAATACCGATCGGCTCAATACCTGGAGAAGTGCACATTTGACTGTAAAAGTCGGATCGGTGGAAAAACTCTAGTTACTGTCTAACAGGCAGGGAACTCGCATAAAAAGACATTCGATGGCATTTTTATACCCGGTACTCGAAGAGTAAATAGGGTATATTACATTTGTGCTCGAAAGTGGATGTAAACGTTTCTGACTCCATAAAGTCTGACCGTCCGTCTGTCCGTTCATCCGTCTGTCTGTCCGTCGTTTCTGTCTCGATATCAGAGGCTATAAAAGCTACAGAAACCAAATTTTGAATCGAGATTGCTTTGATATAACCCTGTTTCAAGTGAACTTCAACATTTCGCCTCGCCGCTTTCCACCCCCAAAAGGTCGAAAATCATCTATATTCACAATTTGGAAGATAGGAAAAAACGAAAAGCGCAGCTCCGTAGAAAATCGAATTAGTATCAGATCGGATCATTATTATAGCCAGAATGACGAGATTCATGTCCCGTGGCTGACCCCATCCAGCAGCTTGGATTATTTTTGTTGCTCATACCAAGTGTGCTGATCTTGGGGAGAGTGGCAAGCGTGTTGGCGGGAGAAGTGATGTAGTTGTAGATGACAGATATACAAAATATGTAAAATTCCAAAATACATAAGTTTTCATACAAATCGTCTCATACGAGCAGCTATTTCTATTCAGTTCCGAGATGTAATTTTGTACAGATCCCTTAATCGTAACACTTGTGTACATTCGATTTTCGTTCGCTTATCTGTGACTGTCTTCTCTGGGAACTTACTTGAATACTTACATAAGAGTATGTGCACATAATAATGGCGGATATAATAAGTTGGAAAAACACACACTCAATAATGTAATATTAATTTCCCATAATTTTTTTCTATTTAACAGAGCATTGACCTGAAAATGAGAGGGACAAGCTCTTCAACATGGATTGCGGTGGCTCTGATGGGCTGTTTGACTGTTTGCCTTTCCGTGGGCTACGTCCACGGCCACGCCAACAACGACAATGACCGTGGGAGCACAACTGTGACCGGAAAGCCCTCTCTGATCCGAACGGAGCTGCGCTTTGGTCGCAACCTGGACCCATCCAAGGTGCGAGTCGTCAGCGTCAAGTCGAGCAAGGGCGATGATGTGGAGATCCTGGTCGGCAAGAACAGTCGCAAAGCTAGGGCCGAGGAGGCGTCCGGCTCTTTCTTCGTGCGCAGCTCGGACGTCAAGCGCCCCGTAATACAGTTGAAGAGCAATGCAAGCGGGCGCCAACTTACCTTCCAGCACAGTCCGGCCCTGCTCAAGCAAAGCGAGCTGGCCCTGCAGCTTGAGGCCTATCGTCAGCGAAGGACCGAGGCGGAGCAACGCCAAGCGAAGCTCATTCAGTTGCAGCTGGCCAAGGCGCAGAGCAAGATCCTGGAGCAGAACGCAGTGCAGGGTGATTCCCGCCGAGGTCGACAGCTTGGGTCCGACTTGGCCTGGCAGCCAGTATACGTCGTCCCGGCACAGCAGAGTCCTCGCAGGAACTTCTCGTTTACTGCGGACCGTCAGTGGCAGCAGTACTTGTTTGCCGACGCGGTGGAGGCCCAGCCACGAGTGCAGCGTCAGGCGCAGGGGCCAATCGTGAGGTTCCCGCAGGACATGCAGTACGCCGCCTCTGAGCCAGGAAGCCAGCAGTACTTATCCAGGGCCAGGGACACACGCTCATATGCCAGCAGTGGATCGCCATCGCCTCAGCGGCATCATCCTCAGAATATCATCACCAAGCACAACTACAACAACTTGCCGCAGAAGTCGAAGTATGTGAGCTACATGCCGCACTCCGTGGTCGTCACAGCAAGTGCAGGCGTGGCAGCTCCCACAGCCTCGCCGAACCGCAGGCGGCAGCCAGTGCCAGTGCCAGCGGCAGTCCACAGTGCGAGTCCGCACCGCAATCCCATCGGACAGAGTACCCACAGCGTGGTGGACGGACCCGCCGTGACGCTCATCGAGGGCGTCCGAGTGCCGGACACAGCTGAGGACAAGGTGAAGACGTGGCGCAACGCGCGCGTCCTGAACAACCAATTGGTGCCATATCCCGAAGGCTACACGCCGCCCCGCGCCCAGATGCCCAGCTTCGACAGATGAGCGAACGGGCGGCAGCCGAGGACGAAGGAGCCTGTAGTGGATGCTACCGTTTCGGTTGTGGGTGCTTGGCACTCGACACGAGTGTGCCGGGGCTGGATCGCCTCACACGTACAATATTATACATGCTATTTATTAATTTGTTCATTGTTTAAGTTATTTATAAATGTTACATTAAACCTGTAAAAGAACCTGTAAAGGAAGCCGCATAACGGTGTGGTCCATGGTCTAGGGCATGAAGTCGTTCACGGTCAAAATCTTGATGTCCGCTTTACGCAGCAGTCGCGCACAGGTGGTGGCATCGAAGGTGAGAAAGACCACGTGCATGGGCGTGGTTTGCATGTAGCCGTTCTCAGAGAACGTGTACCGATAGGGCTTCAAGAGCTCGAGGTATACGAAAACAGCGGGCCGCTTCACCTGGATGCTAATACTCAGGCTATTACGGATGACGTTGCCAGTGGTGAGACAAGACCGAGAGGCAATCTCGTACTACAGAAGCATGGGAGAGTTAAACCGCCGGCCACCTCATGGAAGCTCAGTGAATACCCACCTCTAGGCCGGGATCCTCGAGTCCGATGGCGGCGGCAATGTTGCTTGGGAAGAAGTAGGTGCTGGAGAGCACCTCCTGGCGACGACGCAGCTGCAGCTCCAGGAAGGCATTGCGCCTATTGAATTGCTCATGGAACAAGTCCTTGATGGGGATGACCTTGTCATACTGCACGCCGTTTGGCCGCAGGGTGACCGTCCAGTTGATGGACTGGCGCGGAAGCAGCTGTGACCAAAGATGGATGTTGGCGACAACGATCAATCCCTCCGTCTCCACCTGGGGCTCATCGCAGAGGAGGATGATGTTGAGCGAATCCTCGGTCTTTTCGTACTGTGCAACGATGGCGATGGGGGCCAGAAAGTCGCGCGCCCAGTAGTGCAAAAGCTGGAAGAATCTGGATGGTTTCTGGGCCTACAGACTACTCCACTGGCGCAAGCTTACCTTCCAATTGCCATAGAAATCAATGCCGGACCAGGAAGGCGCCACCCAGACATCGTTCAGCTGCCAGTAGAGGGCGCCCATGGTATTGTGCGTAGTGTCGCGCAGGCTGCGATATAGTTCCGTCTCCACCTTGGTGGCCATGGCCTGGGAAATCTGGCTGAAGTAGATCAGCGCCTCTGCGAAGTTGTCGTCCTCCGGCAGGGGCAGTGGCAGATGGCGCTCCACCAGGCTTATTATGGGTGTGCTCCCCAGAGGGTGATGCTGTCGGTGTTTCAACAGAGTGAGGAGGTCATCGTCTTCGTTCTTGCTGCGCTGCCAAGAATAGAAGCTGGGCAGGCTCTGGAAGCCATACTCGCTGGCAAACCGTGGCCGAGGATAGATCCCTGGATCCCAGGCGTCCTTCAGGTAGTCGTAGAAGTGAACTGTGCGAAAGACATTATTTTTGTTTAGAAATTCCTCACGCAGACACGAGAGAATGTCTCACCGTCGCCATTGTGTTCGTCCTGGGGATTTTCTGAAATGTAATTGTCCACCGCGCTGGCCTTTCCATTCGACGGCGAGGAAACCAGCGGCTGAGGGCGTGACTTGTGGGAGACAAGCTTAAGCTCGTGGAGGACATTGGCCACGTAGAGCTCTCGGTACTCAGCCTCGAAGCGCGCGTCCTCGAAGGATGTTTGATACCAGTTCTGTACCAGGGCGGCCTCGTTCTCGTTATTGGTGACAAAGATCGCAACGCTGGGGTGGTGCGACAGCCGCTTGGCGTTCTGGCGTACCTCCTCGCGAACCGAGGACAGATACTCCTCTCCCACCGGGTACATGGCGCAAGCGAACATCATGTCCTGCCAGATGAGCAGGCCCAGGCTATCGGCAAGACTGTAGAAATAGTCGGACTCATAAATCCCACCGCCCCATACCCGCAGCATGTTCATGTGCGCCTCCTTAGCGGACTTCAGTAGATGCTCAACTAAGAAAATATAAAATATATCTCCGCGCTCCTTTTGGGCATGTATATGGACTCACTTTGGTCTTTTGTTTGATTTTCAGGCAGGATGTGCGATGGTATGTAGTTGCTGCCCTTCATGAATATTTCCAATCCGTTGACCTGGAAGAGGAAGGTGTTGCCGAGTCCGTCCGCCGCTGGTCTCTCTATCAACTCAAGCGTGCGGAATCCCACGCGGAGTGACTTTTGCGATTTGGTTTTCGAGCGCACTTCAGGACCGTCCGACCCTAGCCAGGCTTTGAGCGTGAAGTGGAGCGGATAAAGCTTCTGTTCGCCATAGCCATTGGGCCACCAGGTTACGACTTTCTCCTGTGGATCGACAAATGCACTTGACACACAAATGGATACTGAGATACATACGAGTATGTACATGTAAGTGCGTACATACATATATGTATGTAAATAGTCACGGGTACTTACAATTGGCACGGTCTGATCGAACTTAATTACTGGCGTCAAGTAGCTGATGGGTTTCCAGGTGTATGTGTCCACCACAACCGGATGGTCCAATAACTCGCTGCAGGCAAGTTCGCAATTTAAAATGGAAAATGGAAAAATGGAACTATGCCAAGGACGCTTACACTGCATAGAGGATCAAGGTGGCATAGAAGTTCTGCCTGCCCACCGAATCCAAGTAGCAGCGGATGTGCATGTTCCAGTGCGAGCCGTTGGCGGTGCGACTGATGTCCACGTCGACGTCGCGTATGACTGCCACCTCGTAGATCTCCAGCTGCACGTTCTTCCAGAGGCCCATTGAGGGTGCCGCCGGACCCCAGTCCCAGGCGAAACTCGACTGCATCTTTCGCAGCATATTGACGTGGCACTCGCCGTTGTAGCGTCCGGGCGGACAGGCCGGCGGCACAGAACTGCTCGCAGCGTCGAGCGCCTGCGACTTGGCCAGGGCCGCCCACACGGGCGACACTATCTCCACCTCCAGGACATTGTCCAGCTGAAGGATCGCACTGACGTCGAACGAGTAGCGCACAAACATGTTGTCCGTTCGCCCCAGAAGCTGATGGTTCAGACGAATCTCGGCTACAGTGTCGATCCCGTGGAATGTCAGATTGATGTTCCCCCGCTTATAGTGATGAATATCGACTGTGAACATTTAAAAGACAATCTTTTATCATTATATGAAAACAGTATGTAGAGCAAGATAGCCTTGGCTTACACTGAAAGCTATTTGTGTATGTCCAGTTGTCATATGCCAGCCAGCGTAGATGGATGTCATTGTAGGACTCGAGAACCTGGGATCCAAAGACACTGTATATGCCAGAGGGCAGTGTTTGGTCAGCAATGGAGAGGGCTGTAAATAAATAAAATATCGTTCAGCCAACGAATTGGCGCTTCGATAAGAGGTACTCCCATGGTTTGTAAACCAACAGCTGGAGCTATCTGTTCTTCGCGCAGCTAATTGTGGACACTATCATCAACTAATCGCACTTTTTCGTAATTTCATTTATGATTTAGGGTCTATCTTAGAATCACAAATACACCAGATTAGACAAGTCGATTTTCACCAATAACTTGTGCACCCTTGTACTCACTTCCGTTCTGGTTGGTTATACTCCAATTGCTCCACAGCTCGATGACTTCCACTGCATCGCCCCGGATACCATGGACAAGAAATCCACACCATAGTCCAACAAGCAAACTCCAGGCGGGGCCTCCGTTGTGGCATCCACCCCCAGGCCGGCACTTCATCAGGCAGCTAGTATTTTGCCTAATTTGATGTGTGCTATTTTCAAGTAGACTAAAGTAGCGTAGTCTCCTCAATAAATATTATCAGAAACATATATGTAGCAGAGCAGAGCACTCCCACGAACCGCGAACTGCGAACCGCGAACCGCGAACCTCGAAGTTGCTTCTCCAATGGCACTCTAACTGCAAATAGCGACTGGGCCGACTGGCAGCCGACTGATCGTCTGCCGTTCCATGCACTGGGGCCATGTGGAAGTGAGAGTGGGAGAGCGAATGCGAATGCGAGAGAGAGCGCATATCGATAATGAAAATAATTTCAGTGTCATGCTCTTCTGCACACATCAGCTGTTCTTTGTGGGGCCTGAGAGCGTAAGATCGATAGCAACGAACTCTCAGCAGGGGACGCGACAGCAGTGGTGCCCCGTCCACGAGATACCCATCTTTATATGTACAAGTTAACACATAAGCAATAACATGGGACACCCTAACTTAGCGCACAAGAAATGTGAAATATCATGTGCCGCCCTAACTTATCCAGTCCGATACGGAGGGCGCCGATGCAGTAGATGCCGTTGCAGCGGGCGGCTCTGTTATCTGATTGGGCGCCAGCGATCGCATGATCTTGTTTATGCGTAGGCGGCTCTTATCTCTTGTGAGCGCGGACGGCTCGCCGGCTAGGTTTCGGTGTAGGTTNCCCTCTCAACATAATCTTCGGTAGAAGACTCAGTTGCCAACCGCAACCACCGTCCCCCGCTACAAGAGCGGGCCACGGGAACCCGATCGCTGCCGCCGGAGCCAACGCAACGCATACCGCAGCTCGGACCAAAAACGACATAAAGTTAATTGGCGCCCAACGGGATTTAGGATCCACGTCCCCAAGAAAAATAACATGTAAGTGACTGTTCGGAAAAAATAAAGCTTGTGAGAGAATTTTGATCTCCCCTTCGCTGATCGTTTATGAGTTGGGACTACAGAAACAAGGTCGAATACGACAGCGACGAGAGCCTAGACTTATTGTACCATCCACCAGTCAGAACAGTGCAGAATCAATTTAAAATGGACCCAGCCATGATAAAAGCGTTAGTAGAAGGCGCAATCAACACAGCCCTCGTCGAACAGGAACGACGACTGAGTGCAGAATTTAGCAGGGAACTTGAAAAAGTTAGAAATAGTGTGAGCGCTCTAACTGTAGGTGTCCCTCAGGTGGAAACTTATAAGAGAGTGACCATTGACACTAGTATAAAATGTGAAGTGAAACTAGATATCATGAAATCAGTACCAACTTTCAACGGGAATCATGAGGAATATGTGTCTTGGAGACAATCTGCTCTAGATGCGTACGAAGTTTTCAAAAACTACTCTGGTAGTCAGACACACTACGAGGCTGTGGCCATCATAAAAAATAAAATCTGTGGAACAGCTCGAGCATTGCTCACATCGCACAACACGGTGCTCAATTTTGATGCAATCATAGCTAGACTCGATTGCACATATGCGGACAAAACAAGAGGCCT